ACAGCAGAAGTCACTGCAATAGTTCGGTTTCTGGCTCTTTTCTTCACATTGTTTTCGCTGGCCATCGGTTCCTTTATATTTAAACTATCTAAAACGACTGAACGTCATGTTTGAAGTGAAGGCACAAATAAGCATGGCTTTTTGAGTACCTTTCTACATAGAGCTTCATTTTGATAAGAAAACGAAAAAAAACTAGTTGAAACATTGTTCGTGTACGTTTTGAGATTTTTTTTCTCAGAATTTTAGTGTACTGTATTTGTCGGAAATGGTAAGCAAGATGCATTCGGATCAATCTTTATATGATGCATCTTGCACAAATTCAAATGAACACAGATAAAAAGAGAAAAATAGGCAATGGGCAGTTTTTTTTTCTTCAGAAAATACATTATACGACTATTGTGTAATCGGTGAATCAATAAATGTCATGTTTACACAAAAAACATTTGAAAAAACAAAAAGAATAGAATTTCGCTAGATTTTAATGATTTAGTCGTCAAGCACTAAAGAAATAGTACAATGCGTTACAACCATACATATTGATCTTGAGATTCGACTTCAGTTATTGATTCATCTGAGGGCTAAAAATACAATGTAAGATTATCTAGACACTTCGTTTGGATATTCAACTTTGCAAAGATTGAATTGAAACATAACCTATTTCGAAACTAAACTTCCCTGAAAGTACTGAGAAACAGCGATCGAATCACATAGCACTGCATGATAATGCTATGGGACTCTGACGAATAGCTTATCTTAAAATTCGTAGTTGAGTAGATGTATGCAGCAATGTTTGCAACTTTCTTCTATAATGTAACTTAGTCTTTCTTCTTAAAGCTTCCAATCAGAATAAGGTTAGATAGGAAAAAGGATAAGACACTGAATATTTCTTTCTCAAAGTGACACTTGATATGAAACTATGCCTACCTACAATTGACGAGAAGGTTTAGCGAATTTTTCTCATTTGATAGGACAGAAAAGGTCCTATTAGACAAAAAACTTACAGATTTTATCTTAGTCCTATAAAAAATTATTCGAAAAATAGTGAACTCATTTGTGCTACGGCACACAATACTCCTGGAATCCGGAACACCTTGTGGACCCTTTGAACATCCATACCTGAATGAAAGTCAATATATGTTTATACTATATAGGCGTGACTATGACACGCATAGATATCAAGAATGCTGCTTGGCTATTGAAACCTCAGAACTCTTTAAAGATTGGATACTCCTGGAGAACTTTCTCTGTCTAAAAAATTCGTCTTGAGGCTTTGAATCTGAATTAAAACCGCCGCTATCTCCAATACTCTGGCATCAGATTCGTTCCATGTTCATCTTTAATTAACAAATACTATATGATATCATATATATTAATCTATAGACTTTTGTGTTTTCCATTCAGGTCTGACAATCGTCTTACATCGAATCTGAGACTCAACGTGTAGAGAAAATAGAAAGTCGATCGAAATATCAGAGAATATATAAAAGGATAGAAATCTAGGAAGAATCCAATGTCAGTCAACACTCTCACCACTGCCACATGAAATGAGAAAGAAAATGCATGAGTCATTTACTTGTTTTATGTCCAATACGCAGTGCCTCATATCACACTGTCAATAATGTTTATATCGAGAAGTTGTACAGCCGCAATTGATTTGGAAGTGACGCAATAACAATATGTCTTCATAACTTCCAACTTCTTTCTTTTCTATTCTTTTTTCCTTTGTAACCTTGAAATGAATTATGAAAAAAGAAGGTTCTCGATCTTTCTTTTCATGAAGAACGAACAGCAAATCAATTTTTTCGTCATCCTCTTTATAAGCGAAGGTGTGCAGATGAAGTGAATAGTTGTTTTGACTTTCATCGTCTCAGTTGCGTTAGACAGTAAAAAAACGTGGCACTGTTACACAAAACAAGCTGCATTTTTCCTGGAGAATGCGCGTAGTGAATGACAGCGATCCTTTACTCTTCCGAAGGGCAAATTTAGAAATAGATTTTCGAAGTCGATGCAAAATAAAATGGAGAAGAATCGTGTTATTCAACTATCAAATGTACATACTTTAGAGGAAAATACATTTAAAGTTTTCTTTTCAGTTCAATCCAGATGTTGTACGATTTTTTTACATGAATGAACATGATTGTGTTTTTCAACCAGAAAATGAAACTGTTCTATTATTTTGGGTTGAAGTATCAGTTACGATAGAATATAAGAGTGCAATGGTGCGCATCAGAACTTTTTATCATTTTCTTATCCAAATTTCATTCCCCTCACCATGTCTGGCAGACTTTTCGATAGTCTGGGTTTTAATCTCCTGATGAAGCATGACAGATGTCACTAGATTTCGCTGTAATGGTTCAAGTGGCTCTATCATGTTTGACGTCTTGTTTTCTTTATCGTATACGTATGTAGTTAGTTTGACTGATCTTATGTGCGCTGAACAATGTTGATTGTAACGTTGAAAACAATAGAAAACGAGTTTGAAAATTAGAATCTATGAAAGATAAATAATCTCTTCTGTTTACTGAAATTATAGCACATGGCATCCACAATCTGTTCTATTTAAGTTCATGTTCGTCGAACAGGTGAGATGATTAATATCAATGCGGTTCCATCAATGACTACGTACGATGAAATCATTAGAAAATTTTGCGAAAGAATCAATGAACCAGAACCAAGTCATTATTATTTAGCATTAAATTATGAAGTTGAATTAAAAAATGATGGTATATTTCAGTCACAACACCAAGATGGGCGGTATCAGTTAATTATGCGAACTAGATGGTTATTGGAGTATTTGGCTGAAAAGGAAAAGCTAAAAAATTTGTTAATTCAAGAAAAGACGATGATGAATGGTAAAGTGAACTTAGCTAAAAGAATATTTTTGTGACACAATTGGAGATGAATGTTGTAGTATATAACGAGAAAATTGCACCCTCCACCTCGAACTACAAATCTGACAGACAGTATTGATAAAGCTTCCTACTGTCATTATGGTCTATATCGTTGGTGCTCTGCTTAGCAAGCGAAACGAATTTATTGTGTTTCACATTTGAATCCAAAGGAAATTGTGCTGAAAGCTTTTCTATGAGAAATTTTGTTCCAAAATTAAAGGGTGATCAGAAAGTTTCGACCCTTGTCAGTAAATCGATGATATCTACAACAAGCTTCTATGAAGTTATTGATCAAATTATGTCATTTTGTAGAGAAAGGTTAGAGCTATATTCTGAAAAAAAGATAGTTCAAAATACATAAATTCATAACAATGTTATGGTCATTTTACTAATCTTAAGTGAAAATTTTTACGTTACATTTTTTTCAATAACAAAAATTGCTTTTAACACCCTAAGTGACATATTGTTTTCTAGATATTTTTATATTGTTCGATAGAGTTCGACAAATTCTAAGAGAATATGAATATTTAAAAAAAAATCTGATCTTATTTTCAATATAAAACCTGAAGGAAACCAGAAAGACTAATAAAAATTTCATGTATCAAATATTCCCAAGAGTAAACTGAGCTTTGAATAGCTTCAGCTGGTTGAGTGTTTCACCTGCTCATGTAACTCTGAAGTGTTATTTTCAGCTGCAGCTTATCACGCTGCATCTCGAAACATCAATTAACAATCGATCCAATAAAGTTATTGAAAGTTAAGCATACTATCTCATGCAACATATGCGAGATTTTCATTGATCTGCGTGGTTTCTTCCCAGTTTTACATTGAAAACAGAATTCGAATGATTCTTGATATTTATATTCTTGTAGAGCTTATCGAGCTCTATCGAATCATATAAAAGTATCTATTAAAAACATGTAGAATATAATATTTCGCTCGACTTTAAGGACTCAAACATTCGAGATTTTTTTAATTTTTCAAAAAATGTAATATAAAAATTTTCACTTAAAATTAGTAAAATGACCATAACATTGTTATGAATTTATGTATTTTGAACTATCTTTTTTTCAGAATATAGCTCTAACCTTTCTCTACAAAATGACATAATTTGATCAATAACTTCATAGAAGCTTGTTGTAGATATCATCGATTTACTGACAAGGGTCGAAACTTTCTGATCACCCTTTATTTTCTTTAGCTTATACATTTTCTGTTTCATTGGACTATTCAGGTAGACATATCTGCAAGACTATTCTGACTCCAAAAGAGTATGTATTTAAAATCAATATAAACTGACCAACATATGAGAATTCGGCATACGTAGACACACTGTTTGGCGTTTGTTGAAAAAACTGAACGAAGGTGTCATCTCAAAAATTTTCGTTTGTCTTTTCGCGCTCGTATAATTGGTTTTTGCTTTGCTTCACGCTCATAGCAGCCCGATGTAATTAGGGCTTTTCAGTTCAAAGCTCGCTCCTAAAAACTTTTGCAATAATTCTATTTCGGACCTACATTGAGCTACAGCTCGAAATATCAATATTGGACTTGAAAATTGGGCTCACTACTTGATGAAAGTTTTTGATGTGAAAATCAGATTTTCGTTATTTCAAGATGATTTTCTACGAAATTTTTACGAGAGAAAGCTGCAGTATTAGACTGTCGAATGAGAGATTCTGCGAATATAAATGTCGAAGATGAACGAGATGATTTCTATAATGTGAGAATAGAATTCAAGTGATAACTTCAGAGGATGTCTGCCGATTAAGTTCAGGATGGTATCTATTACCTAGCTTACCTGAGTTCTATTGGTGATAATTAAAAATGTGAAGACTATCTATTGAAGTTGAGACAGAATTCAAATATTACCCGGGTCTTTTAGTAACAACCGTATAGTTACCGATAATAGAAAGAATCGATAAGTCGTAGTCTTTTTTTATTATTATATGTATCTGATTCTTCACTGGGGCGTGAAGAGAATTATTAGTTTATCTTGCCTTATTCACTAATATTGTTTCTGATTCAAGCCTTAAAATCATACGAACTGTTTTGTTTATAGCTATGCCAACTTCTCTATCACATGCGATCGAAGACTCAAGTCAGGAGACAATGGTGACGAGTATTGTCAATGAGCAACCAGGTCATATTGTTCCAAACTCCAATCCAACAGCATCATCACCTAGCAATGAAAATAATCATGGTATTCCTCATGATGTTGTTCATGCCACTATTCAGCCTATACCACGACGAGGTATACAAAATTATCTACATCAACCTATAGGAAAAACGTTTGATATCATACTCATGGGTTCACCTAGAGTTGGAAAAAGTACACTGATCAATGCCATTCTACACAAAGATGTAGCCCAAACACATGCTGGACGTAATGCATGTACGCAAGAATCTAGTTATTATGAGTATGAAGAATTTTATTTTACAGAAACCGAAGACAGCACGACAAAAATATCAACAAATTCGATTTGAATTTGGGACTCACCAGGTATTAAGGATTGGACAAAATTAGATGTGACAGAATATGCACAAGATTTAATTAACAAAAAAAGTCCAGTTTGTCTCATTTTTTGTGCATCACCAGGCACTTATGTTGAACTTGAACAACTCAAAGGTATTGTCAAAGCATGTAAAAATTTGAAAGTATTCATTGCAATGGTTGTAACAAACATGTATGCATCGGATGAAGCAGATATCATCTTGAAATTATTTCAAGATACTCTGATTCATCATCATGCACAACCAAAAGTTAAAGAGAATATTTATTATTATGGTTCCATCGGCCTTTGTACCCAAGTCAATTCGATTGATTATATAGTAGGCAATATTAGAAAAAAACCCGGAAGGTGTCGACGAGTTCATGTTAGGCATTATGAAATCATTAAATGATGAAAAACTGTTACAATGGTGTTTTGCAATTCAAAACAATGCTTCATTCTGGGCTCGAGCACAAAGAAAAATTTGGAAATTATATTCTTCTCTCAAACATTCACTCGGTTATTGATATGTCTCTATAAATAGTAAAAAATATATTCATTTTCAATACTTGTACACTCACAGAGGATGTAGGTGTGGTTGTGCGTGTGGATTTATGGGAAGAGAGAAATAAGACACTCATACGGTCACACTCCACATCCTAGATCTTTCGTTGATCCTTCTTGGATTGTATTAAGTCTCTTAGAAGATACTCGTTAGTTTCCGTTAGAATCCTCTATAAATTATATCTGAATGTTCTTCAACACCTATTAGGATCCTATTAAGATTGTCTTTGGATCCTGTTTCGATTGCTTAACGATTCACTTTATATCCTTTTGAATTCTTGCCCAGATTTTCATAGGATTTGCTCTAGTTGTTCCTAGAATTTTCGCGATATCCTGTCAGTATCTGCTGGAGATCTTGTCCACATGCTATCACAATCTAGTTAGCGTATATCTCAATTTTTCTTAGTACTACTTGAAGCTCTCAGTAGCATGTAGCAGATATCATATTTGGAGCGATGATGAGATTCTTGTAAGATTCCTTATCGATTCGCTCATTTGAGTCCTAGATCATTGAAGAATAACTTTCAGGATCCTCCGGATATTCAGAATGAATCCGTTGAAGATCAATTCATGATGTTTGGATAAGTTCGCAAGATCGGCTCGGTAAATTCTATGCTATCGTCTGACACTATTGATGAATCTCTGGAAATGAGATATACAGTATAAATAAAACTCAGAAGTCTCCAACGTGATGGGTAGTTCTTTTCAATGTTTGACTTATAGATAGGCATATAGCTAGTTCGTGAATCAAGGATGTCGATTGTACAGATTAGCGTCTTCAAGGATTCATTTTTTCTTGATAGTTCGGATTTTCATCTATAGGTAAATCAAACGTCTCCTGCACATTTTATAAATTCGTTGTACAGTATTCTCAAAAACTTTTCTATGAAGGCTTCAATAGAATTAGCTTTTGCTCTATGCTTTATTTCTTTCATGACATCCTTCATCTTTTAGAATTACTCAACAGCATCAAACTTGTTTTCACAAGTTTTAGCGACACGAAACTTTCAAGGAGAAAAAAGAAGCACTATTCTGCTAGATTTGCCAACAAAAAAGGTTTTCTATTCTACGAAAGATTTTTCTTTCGGTATCTATAAAAAGAAGAATGCTTTGCAGAGAGATTCCCTTCAATGAAGGAGAATATTTAATTTATTGTAGCACTTTTCGCTCACAAGAAGGGAATCTGTTCAACAATAACGATGATCATCGTTGACTGGGAGAAAGATCGCATCATCCATCCAATCAAAAATGGATGACATGAATGGATAAGTCATACTTGGTTGCCATGGCCGAGGAAATCGATTGGACAATTGGTTCGTTCAATTGATGTCTTGATCGACAAAGAGATAGATAGTCTCATTATTTGTCATCATGGGAATCAACAACTTGTACGATGGTCTCATCGTAGTAGCACTACTCAGGAAGAAATCCTCATCAACAACATCTATTTTTAAGAATTATCTACGGATGACCAGAGGTACCTCAACATTTCTGACGATAGAAAATATGAAATCAGACGATATTAAATAGGAGACTATCTAAGAGTTTTGTCCCTCGATCGGCATAGCAATTTCTATGTTGTCGATTATTTCAATCATTGTGTTCAACGATTTTCTATCGAATGAATCCCAAATGGTGCTTAACTTTTTTTATAATTCTTTCTCTCAAATAAATCGTGATTGGATGAAAAATAATTGATGGTTATTCTATTCGTGGACGAGATCAGAAACCATTCTGATGGAGTCATGGTGAGTGCGAATCTCATGCGCACACGGGGCACAGTGAAAAACCAACCGAATATATGCGAAGATATTATTCTTTTTCAGTATTCAACCGTTTGCATAGATACATATATATGTGACCAATTGTTTTCTAAAATAGAGGTTCATCAAGTTTTATAGAGCCCTAGAAAACAAAATCTGACATGGCTTTAACCCCGAGATCGGCATACCTTAAGAAAATTAGATCGCTCGGCAATACAACACAAAATTCCGCAAGCCAACAATTTCATAAAAAACTTGCTCACCTGTAGTCTTTATGTTTAAAAAAATGAACGTAATCCATTTTAAAACAGAATAGACAACAAAGAGCCTCTATGCCAAAAACCTACCAGGAGTTAACGCCTGCCTAACTGATATTTTTACCACATATGCTTGCATATGTATCCTAATTATGGTAGTAGTGCCAACTTAGGAAACCTTTTGCGTGTGTGTAATGTGGGGTGTAGGTATAGATGAGCGTGGATGTGGATGTGAATGAGAATGTGAATGTGAGTGTGGACGTTAGCAAAGAAACACCCACACCCAGATCTCGAGTGTTTAGGTGCAAGATAAATGCTATAATTATTTTGTACCAAAATAGGTAATTAGATCTTTGGTGCAGATTTATAAAGTCCTCGCTAAAATACACTTGTTCCAAAATGATTACTAGAATTCATTTATGAACAACTCGAAATACTTCTGAAATATACAATATGATGTAAAATTTGATGGTGAATATGAAGCCAAAGTCAGATTTCTGCTACAAGTAGAAAGAGTCAAGTTAAAGGCAGATGTTATATTCAAAACACGTTCGAAATCGTGACCGTCATGAACGTCCTTGAGTGACGATCAAGTTTTATTGAACAATTTGGCACAATCTAGTTTCAAGCAGTGGTAACATACTCTTTATTAAGTAGTATTAGTCAAAATCTTGGGAGCTAGAAATGTAACGCTCTTGTATCTTAGTCGCATCAGATTTGCCTGTACCCAAGATCTTATTGCGCAGATCTTCGTATAAGGTGATGACACGATATTGTGCGAAAACTTTCAAGAGTTGTTAACATTTCTGCGCTTTGTATCTTGACCCAGATCTTGCTTTCAAGATGTTTCAGTAGGGCAACAAAATTTCTTTCTTGTCCGTTTTACATAAAGAGATTTATAACCGAGATTTTTTCTTGACACTTATCAAAAAAATTTGTTAGGAAGGATTTTGAAAATAACACATGTTTACTTTGGATATGAAGTGAATTTTACCTCTAGGAAACTGCAGATCATTACAAGCTAAATAATATGATTATTGAATTTTGTTCTCAATACATGTTCGAGAACAGAGGATAGGGTGTGGGTGTCGGTGTCGGTGGTGTGGGTGTAGGTGTGGGTATGGGGTGTGGGGTGTGGGTGTCGGTGTGGTGTGGGTGAGGATGGATGGGTGTGTGGGGGTGGCTGTGTGTATGGATGTGGATGTGAATCTCTTCATAACCCACACCCACGCCCATGCTCACACTCACACCCACACCCTCGACAGTCCACGTCTTGCTTCTGGCCTTTGGACTGATGGCATCCATTATTGGACAAGCAAGTGACCGTTTTTGGATCTCATTGCAATTGAAGGGGACAAGACCAAAGGCCAGTATGTGTACGCTCAGGAGGTTGCCGTCACGACTATCCAAACTACTGTCTAACAAAATCCGACTGGGAAAATCCTTTCGACAGAGTGAAGTTCGGTCATACGCAATTGTGGGCAATCGAATGGCATGAAAATCGAAAAGCGTACCTCGATCGCAATTTCAAAAATTGGGATAAGATTATTGAGATGAATATGGATCACCGAGCCAATGAATACTTTAAAATAGTGAGTACGTGGCCTCCGTCTCCGCAAGATCTCGGCTATCTATCAAGGAGCAATAACTCGACTACTCTGATAAACCCATGGCCCTGCCTTACTGAGCAGTGGCCGTAATCTTCTGATTAACTAAGTTTATTTGTCTTCACAGCAGTGTAGAGGCGATCAGGAGAGTGTTTCTCATTGATGAGACTGTTTGTCCAAATTAGATCGTTCTGTAACAATGTATCATATCCAATTACAATAAATGATGTACATCTTGTTATTAAATAGGGGTCTTTTTCTTCTTTTACATCTATTCCGGTATCACCGACGTCCGATCGTATTGTGATTTTATGAACGATGAATTTCGTTGAATGCAACAGAAAGCGTAATAAAACGGTGACAAACTATTTGAACAAAGCTTCATAGAAAATGAAATTCGCTGTACCAATGCGGCTATCGAAAATATGCAAGCGCTTGAAAAATGTCTGTCTTTCTAACATGAAACGGAGTATTGTTGTGGATGTTAAGAACTCGGAAAGTTTTCAGTACTGAGAATATTTTTATCTGCATTTTGTTCTTGTCAAGTAAGTTCGACTTCCATGTACGAAAACTTGCACTAAAAATATTTTTTCATTTCTCTTGATTAAGCGACTGATCACATCGATTTTCTTTACGCTGACCAATTTCTTTTTCTCGCTGTGGTCGTATTTGCCAAGTGCGATCATGTCATTGATGAAAGAAAAAATTGATCACAAAAGTGTAGCATGTTGAAAATATCAAACCTGAACGGAACCGGTGGAATATTAGAACATGTTGGATGAAAAAGAACTGAATATATCATCAGCTAGACGTTATTTCACATTAAATGAGCGCATGTCCTTTATAGTATATCATTAAAAAGTGCAATGTTTCAACTATCGGTATCGATATATTTCATTTCGTCCGGTCACGATTTCAACAAGTTTGAGTAAATTATATGACGATCCGAGGAGTTCCTTGCATTCGAATTTCGTTACCGTTTTTGTCGATTGAGTTCCAGCAATTACTGATTGGAATTCAGTCGCAAGTCGTCATGAAAAAATTTATGCCAAAATTCAGTAACCAAATAACTCATAGAAACTCAAAAGAATCAACAGATTTCGACTGAACGATACTATTTTGCGCTGTCATTTGCAAATATATGAGTCAAAACATGAGTAAAGAAAAGAAAAGCAACGTCTATACTCATACTCGAGGTGCATCATGATGTGTTGTTATCTC